CTTTAAAATCACGGCTCAATTTTTGATCTCATGCTTTGACACATGTGAGGTTTCATGTCATGTCATTGCATGTTCCTTCCTGAGTCTTTTGAACTCTGCATGTTGCAGTGTCCGGGCTCTGAGGTAGGCACGGCGAAAAGTTTGTTTTCTGGCTCTCTAGAGGTCTGTAACCTTCTTCTTAGCAGGTTCGAGGCCTCTTACGTCGGTGCTTTAGGCTGTCACGACTGCCCCCCTTTGCTGGGGGCGTCAGATGGACGCCGCTGGGCCTTCAAGCTCAGAATGCCCCGGCTCTTATACTGAGAGCGGCGGCAGCTCCGGGTGCGGCAGTCCGTCGGTGCTTCATGCTGCCAGTTCTGTTGCGGTGGTTCATGTCAGGATTGTTTTTGGAGCGCCCGAGCGCCCTGAGTTCTCCAGCCTGCCGCTTCCCTTCCTTTGTTCACGCCGGCGCCTGCGTGCTGCCGCCTGTCTTCTTGCAGTCGCAAAGCCCAGCTGTGCTTGCTGCACCCCTTGCATCTTGAAGCTTAGGTTCTTTTAGACTGTCAGGCGCCTCTGCCTCTGCATCTTCTTCTGCAGGGGGTGGGGTTGATGCCTCGTCAGAGCCCGATCTTTCTCGGATGGATGAGACCAGTCGAGAGGCCATCTTTCTTTGCAGCGAGCCTCAGATCTTGAGCTTCCTTGGGAGCAGCCCGGGGTTGACTTGATTTTCGGGAAGGGGCCTTTGGATCTTGTGCTGCCAGATGGGCCTGCTAAACTTGAGTACCCTGTCCCCTCGCCCGCAAGCGCTCCCGTCGAAGAGCAGGTGAGGACTGCAAAGAAGGTCAAGACTGCCGCCTTTGGTAAGCCGTGCTTTCTTAGTTGTGTCAACTTAAAGAATCAGGCTTCGGATGTTGAGCTCACTGCATCCGCGTGGCAGCGGTCTCTTGAAAAGTGGCATTTTCTTTCAAGCTTGGTTCCGCCTGTCTCTTTAGTGGGTTCTTCGATTGCGGGCTTGAGTCCCACTGAAGGCATGCAATCTTTGCGCGAGTTAATTGGAAGAAAGAGTGAGGCTACCGTTGGCAAGCGAGTCGCTTCTCTGCTTAAGTATGTTAATATTTGCAAGAGCACCGGCCCTTCTTGAGCCCTTTTTCCTTTCACGACTGTTTGAATTCCTGTCCTGCCAAGCCTGGTGCAGTGGATGCTTTTACTGAGGCTGTTAGGTTTGGCTTTCATGTGGTTGGGATTAGCTGTGATGGCGACCCCAACAAGATTTTCAGCCCGTGGGCTGTGGGCCTCAGAGGGCTCATGCAGTCCAAGAAGCCTGAGCGAGTCGCCGCAAGGGTCCTTTCCGTTGAGCAGGTTTCGTACCTCGAAGGACTGCTTGATGACTCGGAGCTGGGCGTGAAGGACAGGTACGCGTGCGGTGCCTTCCTCTTTTGCATTTACAGCCGCAGTCGCATAAGTGATGTCAAGTGAGTACATCCCTTTGTTATTGACACTGTGGTTTCAAGATCTAGTGTCCAAGGGTTCCTCGAGTGCGGGACTCGCTCCCACAAAACTGCTACGCTGGTTGCGCCAGTGACTGGGGTAACTGAGAATGCTTGGGGGACTCGCTTTGTGGCTGTTGCACAAGCAGCAGGGTTGCCACTTACCATGAACGACGAGGGCCGCTCCTTCCAGCGCCTCGTGACGCAGGATATTGGGGAGAGCGAGCTGTCGCTTCTGATGAGGCGGGAAGTTGGCTTCAAGCTCTACTCAGCAGGGGGCACAAGTGCTCTGATGGAGTGACAGGTCATTCGCTTAAGTCTACACTCTTGATTGGTGTGGGAAGTACGGACTGCAAGAGCTAGAGCAGACTCTGCTGGGCCATCATGCCCTGAAAGGGGCGACTATGTATGCTTACATGCGAGATAAGCTGGCTGCGCCTTTGAGGTCCTACGGAGGCATGCTAGGCTTGATCCGGAAAGGCCTCCTTTTACCTGGTGCCATGAGGTCGGGTTTGTTTCGTGCTGGGGCTGATGATTCGGAGCCTGCGGGACCAGGGAAGGCCGCCGCCTTGAGTCAAGATCATTGGAGCCGGGTTCGGCCCAGCACGTTGAGCCCATTGACTGATGGAGATTCTGGGCCCGCGAGGGCCGATGTCCCCCCTCTTAAGGAGTCCGATTCTGAGGGCAAGTATTACCAAGCAGCTGCACTAACGTCTTAGGCGGCTGCTGAGAAATTTTATCGTCGCCGCCAGGGGCTTTCGAGGAGGCGCCTGGAAGTGAGGACGGGCCAGAGTGGAGCGATGCTTTCCAAGGCAGCTTGGGAGGTGTTGTTCTGAAGGCCCCAGTTGGGGGGCCTGATTATGATTTCTGGCGGCACGACCGGACTTTAACTATTCATTCCATTGCTGCCGGGTTTACGGGTGAGACGTTCTCTTGTGGGCGCAAGAAGACGCCTGATTATTCCAAGGTCGCGCAAAGTGCTTTCTTGGAAACTAGGTTGTGCCCCAACTGTCGCAAGAGCAGGCCAGTTAGAGACGTGGGCGCTTTGAACGCAATTTTGAGCAAGAATCTCAAGCGCGGAAATTGGTTGTGCCGGATGTGCGGCCTGGGGTCGGTCCACGAAGTGTGGTTTCCGGGAGGTCCGGCAGACCCTGCGATGACGGTTGCGAGGTGCAACACGCGGCGCAGCTCAATCAGGCAGCCGCAAGAGCATTCCACGAGGTGTGGAGCCGGGAGGTACCGGGGTGCTCATTCTCTGCCTATAGTGATTTTTCGCTGGCACTGATGCAGGAGCTGTGCGATCACAAAGGGAATGTTCCGTGCAGTATGTGTTGCTCGGAGAAGTGTTCTCTGCGCGATGTGCAAGAGTCGAAGTCGACTTCTGCCAGACATGTTCAGCAACGGTGTCGCTGCTGGCTGATGTTCAAATTCCGGAGTTAGAGTTGCGCGTGAATGTGTCGAGCTTGGTGCAGTCAGGCAACTTGGTGAGCAGCCGGAAGAGTCGAATGCATTTGCATCGAGCGATTGTCTTTTCCAATACTTTTTTCTTTGATAGTATTTGCAGCCATGGCAAGTGTTCCTGTGGCCACAGCCTTCACAGAGTCGAAGGCTGCCTTTACCAAGCAAGCGCTGGAGGCTGGCCTGTCCCAGGAGTCGACCACTTGATCGGCCAGCATGTGGATACTTTGTCAAAGTTGGCTTTCGCCCTAGTTTCCCCAGGACGAGTGCCGGAGGGGGATGCTGTTGTTGCCCTCTTGGCTGCAGGAGCTACTCAAGGGGCCATCGCAGGCCTCAAGCGTTTGCTTTTCGAAGCACATACACTGGTAGCTTCAGCGTTAAAGCAGCGAGTCGAAAAGACGGACGATGTTGTCCCAGCCTCTCTAGACAGTGCGGAGAGGGATGATCGCCTTGCTAGCCAAAAGGCGCGGCTTGGGGGCCTCACCTTTCAAGGTGAGGAAGAAGTGGCTCATGGAGCCTATGATCTTGTCTTTGCCTGGCCCAAAAGAACGAGCCTCTGTGGCTTGCGCCTGTGAAGTTCGGTACTCGAAGGGCAGAAATTGGGGCTAAGGAGGCGGGCAAAGAGCTGGTGATTGACGGCAGCGGAGTTGCTATCAAAGACGAGCCGTCAGTACACAATTGCATCATTCATTCTGAGCTTGATTTGGTGTCTGCTCTTCGCCGTAAGGCACTTGCTTTCGACTTAGTGGGGATCCTCAGCTACGACGTGGCGAACTATCATCATCAAGCCTTGATTCAGCGCTTACAAGAAGCCCCTCCGCCAGGGTATTCCAAGGTGTCCACAGCTCAGATGATCTGTGCGGACCGAGCTGTATTTCTCAAAATCGCTGAGAATATCACGTCCCTACGTCGCAGTGGGACAGGTGTGTTGCCTCTGGATTCGCAGCTGCCAACCATTTTGTTTGATCTGAGTGGTACTTATCACCTTCTTCCTCTGCTGGCAGGTTCGTCTTCTTCGGGGCAGGTCAAGGATGACGACAAGCCAGACCGGCCTCCGAAGCGCCCTCATGACCCGCCTCGTCGCCCTCCCAGGGTGCCAAACGTGCCAACTTCTCTGTGTCTGAAGAGTCGATTGGCAAAACCCAACAGGCACCGAAAGGGCACCGATTGTGATGGGGGTTTAATTTGCTGAGTGGGTGCGAGGAAGCAGAACCTGGAGGCAAGTGCGCGAAAGGGTGCATTTGTGTGCGGAGCCAGAATGCCTGGAGCCGCATAGTTTGCAGCGTCGTGTTCGCAAAGGCGGCGGTTGAGTTGCAGCGCCTCCCGCTTCTTGTCAGGTCTATGCTGCCGGCGACCGGTGCTCACAGGCGGATGCAGCCGCCCTTTAAACGAGGTTGTGACAGTCGAGGTTTCTGTGGGCGCGGGAGGTTGACTGCTTCCATCAAGCGGGAAGGGTTCGACGCATTTGGCGCTGACCGCAATGTTCTGAAAACTGCATCTTGCTCCGTGCTTCAGCTTGATCTTACGCAAGAGGATGCAGCCTCTCATTCAATTCATTCATTTTGCGCCTCCGTGTGGAACTGCCAGTCGTGCCAGGGACATTCAGTTTAAAGGGGCCCCGCCAGCAGTACGTTGCAGCCGCAGGGCGTGGACGGTCTGGAATGCCTTGATGCTACTCGTGTTGCAAAGGCCCATTCTCTGTACCAGCTGACTCTTGAGGTCAGTCAGTTTTGTCTTCAATCTGGTAAGTTTTTCTCCTGTGAGAACCCGTCGCGAAGCTACCTGTGGCTTCTCCCTGCCTGGAAAAGTTTCCTGGCCCGGACAGATGTTTTTCAAAACCAATTTCCATCGCTGCGAATATGGCGGCGTGCGTCGCAAGGCGACCCTACTTGCTCATAACGTCCCCTCCTTCAGAGGGCTTCAAAGACCGTGCAGCGGGAACCACGTTCATCTGGGATGGGGTAGAGTTGGGCCCTCTTGGGCCACAGCTGAGGAATCGGCCTATCCGTGGGGCCTCTGCAAGTCTATGGCCAGTTTCCTTAAAGATCACTTCATTTCCCTTGGGTTTTCTGCGCCAGCCTCAGACCTTTCTGGCTCTTTCAATCAGGTGCAGGCGTCCCGTGCCTTTACAGGAGTGCAATCTCGCAAGCGCGTGCCTCCGCTGCTCAGTGAGTTGGCTTCGGTGCACACTGTCACCGTCTCGACACAGGTTGTCGATTCTTTTCTGAGACCGGGCAACAAGATGCCGTCTGACTGGCGACCAGGGTCCACTGCTGGTGGTCGGCCGCCCTTTTTCCCAGCCAGTAGTCGTGTCCTGCGTGCACTTGTGTTGCCCAGGGGGTGGAGTGAGTGCTCTCAGGCCACTGACTTCCTGGAGTGAGTGTTCTCAGGCCACTGACTTCCCCGTGCAGCCACCTCTTTCCCCTTTCGGTTTAGCTCATGATTCCAATGATGGCGCTCAGGCTGCAGACTCATCAGTGTTGCAGCCTAGTGCTCATTTCGGGTTAGGTTCTGCCCGTGGCCGAAAGCGTCCCTGGACTGATGCTCATTTTGGGTTAGGTTCTGCCCGTGGCCGAAAGCGTCCCTGGACTGATGGGGGATCTATTAGCAACTTCGATTTTTCTGCAAGTGGCCAAAGCTTTCCTGGACTGATGGGGACTCTGGCTCCTTAGACCCTGCAGATTCTCGTGTTCGGGATGCAGTGAAGTCTGGCAGTGCTGAACAGGTTGCAACTCTGATGAACCAAGGGGTGGAGTGAGTGCTCTCAGGCCACTGATTTCCCCGTGCAGCCACCCCTTTTCCCCTTTCGGTTTAGCTCCTGATTCCAATGATGGCGCTCAGGCTGCAGACTCATCCGTGTTGCAGCCCAGTGCTCATTTCGGGTTAGGTTCTGCCCGTGGCCGAAAGCGTCCATGGACTGATGGGGGATCTACTAGCAACTTCGATGCTTCTGCAAGTGGCCAAAAGCTTTTCTGGACTGATGGGGACTCTGGTTCCTTAGATCCTGCAGATTCTCGTGTTCGGGATGCAATGAAGTCTGGCAGTGCTGAACAGGTTGCAACTCTGATGAACCAGGGCCAGTGCATTAGCAGCAAGGACTTGTGTGTGTGCCGCTTGATTTGCTTCCTTCGGAACCTCTTCGATGGGAGGGCAACTCCGGGGCTAAGTCTTTCCAAGTTGGGAGCTCCGTGCGTGGGCCCATGACCGGTGTACGTTCAATGACGAAGCAGTTCCCTGAAACTACCAAGGCTGTGTGCTCGTACGTCAGGTCTTTATTCCCTGGTTTCGAGTTTGGCACTGTGGGCCTCTTCCGTGACTTGTCGGCTTTGCCGCACAGAGACTCTAACATCGAGGCCGGCACTGAAAATGCCTTGGCAGCCCTTTCATCCTTCAAGGAGGGCTCTCTTTGGATGGAGGACTCAGCTGGAGAGGTGGAACATGAGTTCAAAGGCCGCCAAGTCAAAGGTGTCTGTATTCCAGTTACGGCAGCCGGTTTTTCAGGTTCGATGGTAAGAGGCTCCNNGCTCCATGCCACGATGCCTTGGGTGGACCGGAGAGACGTGATTGTCGCATATATGCCGCGGGGGGGGGGGGCCCGGGCCTTGGAATCGGAGCACGCCTCTTTCTTGACAAAGCTTGGGTTCCTGCTCGACCGCAAGAAGCAGCCCCCCCACCGGCAAGGGGCACTGGAATGACTAAGGCTGTCATAGGCGTCTATCGGACACCAGAACAGTTTGTCGCTGATGCCGTTAAAGTTGGTCATCCGACCCAGCTGTCGTCACTACTCCCGTCCGAGATTCGTGGAGCTGTTCGCAAGCTCCACCGTGTTGGTGAAGCCAACGTTGCTAGGGAGCGCACCGCTACTTTGAGGCGGTGGGTTGGCGTGGCGACGGACCTTGAGGCTACTGAAGCGGAGTTCAAGAAGGACATGCCCAAGTTTCGCAAAGATGTTCTTGCCTCCAAGCGTTTACTGCTTTTTCGCGCTCTCCTTCGGGAGGTGGGGCACGAGGATGATGAGCTTGTTGCTGACTTTGCTAAAAGGGTTCGACCTAACGGGCAAGCTTCCCAGATCCGACGTGTTTTTGCGTCGCTTTTGACCAGCTGAACAAACCGAAGGACAGCTACGGGCGGGAGCTAAGAAGTTACGGGATGGGCTCCTTGCTACCATCAGAGCCTCTGAAAATCCTGTGGTTGATGATGGGGTGCTCAAAGCTACGCAAAAGGAGTTGGGGCGGGGGTTCCTGAAGGCCCACTTCGTCCCGAAGATGTGCCTGCAAACGCGTCTTTGACCCATCGGTTCGGGGTCCTTCAGGGCGTCACCGATGAAAGACCGAAGGTCCGACCTATCGATAATTACCTGTCTTCGCAGGTCAATGCGGCTGCCAGGCAGGTCGAACAGGTCAGTGTCCACACCATCGACATAGTGGCCGGCATGCTTGGGTGTTGGCTACATGAGTGGTTCCTTGCAGGGCAGCCTATCCACAGCAGCCCGTTGTGCAAAGCCTGGGACTGCGCACGGCGTACAAGTAATTGCCTCTTTCTGATGCGTCGTTCGAGCTTGACAGTTACTTCGTGGTTTTCAACGGCCGCACAGGTTGAGCACCCTCGGCCTCGACCTAAGGTGGAGCGAATACTTTGACGATTACCTCAGCGTGTGTGGTCGAGAGTTTGCTCGGCATTGCGACTTGGTGATCGCGCTGTTCTTTCAGCCGTTGCTCAGATACCTGCTGCTCTAACTTCGAACCGGCTTGATCCTGCTGAGAGTGCGCAGCAGAAGCATTTCCTTGAAGCAGGTCGACCTCGGCCTGTGCGCGCCAGGCGGGGTGACTATGTGCACATTTATGTGGAGGCATCCTTTGAACCGAATGGGCACTGCAGTTTGGGGGGTGTGATTTTCTTTTCCTCAGGTACCCCACTTAGCTGGTTTGAGCATAAGGTAGATGACCGGTGCATCACAGCGCTGCGCACTGAGGGCAGTAGGGCCAAAGAGACTGTCCTCTTTGAGCTTGAAGCCTTGGTGCTTAGCATCTGCCTCGATGTGGTTTCGACCTTTTGTGGATCGCAAAGGCGTGGTCATCTTTACTTACAATGAAGGTGTGTTTGGATGCTTCGTTAGAGGCCATAGCGACGACATCATGTGCACACCTCTGATGGATTTCTTCGCGAGGTGTGAAGAAAGCCTTGAGACGATTTGTTGGATCGACAGAGTGCCTCTTCGTCGAATCCTGCGGACGATCCTTCAAGGGGTCGTGGCTTTGCGGCTCCACATCAGTCGGTCGTCGACCGGGCTACTTTCAAGCAGGCGCTGCCACAAGTCTTTGGGTGAATGGGGCACATGTGCTCTGAAGGGGGTGCGGGATGTGCCGCATTCACTCCTGGAAGTCAGGACGTTAGTTATGAGCAAACTTTTTGGATGCCCCATGCCACCTTCGTGGAAAAGGTCGAGTCCGTTCGTTGCAACTTTCAATATGTGAGATATATTTGATTATCAAGATTGAATCAATGTATGTGATTCACGACTTTAGCTTTCTCTTTTCATATGGAAGTTCATATGATTGATTTCAATTATGTTGTGAGCCATAACTTTCCCAGTGAA